CCATTTTGACATCTGATGTGATTTTCCTGTGTTGTAAATCCTAACCTCTATGATGTTAATGAGGCAGTATTAGACGCATATGTTAATGAGGCAGGACACAACCTACAGGATTAGGTTGTATCTTGAGCCAATCTCTTTTGAGATACAAAAGAGATTAAACAAGCAGAGATCAAGGGACCTCATTACCATCAAGAAAGAAGAGCCAAGAGAGGAGTGTATCCTTTGGACCTGGGGTCCTTGTGCTGAGAACCTCCTAGACCCAGTGGAAGATTGAGGCCAAGGCACACGGAGATCTCCAATGAATGCTGGGCCCACAGATGCTGAAAGGAGACAAAGACCTTCCTCCTAAACTGTGAGCTGACAGAGACAGAAGGCCTTCCCCTGGAGCTGGTGCCCTGAATTTGGACTTCTAGCCTCCTAGACTGTGAGAGAATAAATGTCTGTTAAAACCATCCACTTGTGGTATTTCTGTTACAGGAGCACTGCATGACTAAGGCAGCACCTAATGATCTATGATTTCAGTCATGCTAGTGACAGTCACTGAGTCCCTGGGTGGCGTAAACATTTAAGCACTCAACTACTAACTAAGAGACTGGCAGTATGAACACACCCAGAGGCACCTCAGAAGAAAGGCCTTGCAATCTGCTTCCGAAAGGTCACAGCTAAGAACCCTAATGGAGCACAGTTCTACCCTGAGGCACATGGGGTCACCATGAGTCAGAGTCAAGTCAACAGCAACCGCTTTGGTTTAGTGGGAGTCATGCCTATTTTTGTCTAGTAGGTTCGGCTTCTCTTGCTTTACCTACACTTTCTTCAGTATATTAGAGCTGGGCAAAAAGTCTAACAGAAATCATTTTCAAAATAGAGCACGTTCAGCTTCCTTAAACAAGAAATTAGACTGATAGGTTATTTGACACAATGTCCATCAGACTCCTTTCTCTGGATGTCATTTAAGTTAAGAATTACCTACATGAAATAACTGAAAGCAGCATCCTTCAGAGCACTGGAGGTGTGGAAGTCAATCAGCGTGCCCCTAACACAGGGTGCATGGTCAAGTGGACATGCTTCCTCAGAAGTGAACAGGGGCTCCCTGCTTTCCAAATCACAGGATTTTGCAGAGCCTCTAAAATGCAAATATGCATCATGTCCTCCAAGAGACAACAGAGAGTGCAGTAGATTCCAAACTAATTTGACTACAGAACACTTTATTCAAAAGTCATCTCTGTTTCTCAGAGGGGTGCCCCATGAAACACACTTATTGTGGGGTACACACATTTAAAGGCCCAAACCCATTGCCGTCAAGTTGATTCCGACTCATAGTGACCCTATAAGACAGAGTAGAACTGCCCCATAGGGTTCCCAAGGCTGTAATCTTCACGGAAGCAGACTGCCACACCTTTCTCCCATGGAGCGGCTGGTGGGTTCGAACTGCCAACCTGTCGGTTGGCAGCCTAGTGCTTCCCACTGCGCCGCCAGGGCTCCTTCATTTAAAGGCCAGGTCTCCTAAAGACAGGGAAGGAGTGGGCTAACACTCAGTGGTCAGGTCAGACACTCACCATCTGTCCATTTGCCACTCCCAGAGTACACTGCTCCAGAGTTTTGGAGCACCGTGCCAGGTCTGAACACCTTCATTTTATAAACGAGGAACCAGAGGTCCAAAAAGATTAAATCGTTTGCCAATCACACAAACGGGTTGGTTGGGTTAGAGCTGGAGTTAGAGCACCGTGACACTGAAAATAAAAGTAATCTAAACTCCTGGCAAAAGGGTCAGTGGTGGCTCTTAGGGAGAAAGGAAAAGGAAAGGATACTTCAAAAGCTTTATGAAATCTACGAAAAGAGACAAGTATAGCACCATACCAAGCGGAAGCACCTTTATATCTGGACATTTCTCCGGGGGAAAACAAAATTTTAGCAAAACAATTTTTCATATGGCAACCACAAGAAGCGTCTCAGGCAAAAACTGGAGATTTCACCCACACACTTAAATCTGGAAATCAGTAGTATACGGCTTATCAGAAAATATCAAAAATGTCCTTCTAGCATTGAAAACTCAAAACACATTTGATACCTTTAAATTCAATGAAAATTAAAATGAGGGACGGAGGGAGGGAATTAGATTTTAAAATAGTTTTTAAAAGAAAAGAAAGAAAAAAAAAAGAGCAGTGTTTCAGGTGATTCTGATTTCAATTGCAAATTTACAGACACTAATGTACTTGTACACACACAAGCCTACTCCTTTGGCAGATAATAGGGAACGGGGTAACAGGAAGCCAGGGAAGGTTAATGTTTATAGGTACAAAGAGTTCTCAAGTTGGAGGGATACCAAAAGTACCCAGTGCTTTCATGCACTCCCCAACAATGAGGATGTAAGAGTCCCAATGGCAGAAAGATCTAATTGTACTAATTGCTGAGGGAGAAATGAGAGGTAATTGTTTTTTGTTTTGTTTTAAATTCTATTTATTTTGTTGTTGAGAATATACACAGCAAAACATACACCAATTCAACAGTTTCTACATGTACCCTTTAGCAACACTGATTACATTCTTGGACAACCATTCTCCCTCCTTTTCTGAGTTGTTCCTCCCCCATTACCATAAACTCACTGCCCTCTAAGGTTCCCATCTAATCTTTTGAGTTGCTGTTGTCAATTTGATCCCATATAGATAGTTCTTAAAAGAGCATAATGCTCAAGGCAGACGTTTTTTACTAGTTAAGCTAAACTATTGCTTGGTTTTAAGAATACTTCAGGGGATATTTTTGGCTTAAGATTTAAAGATTATCTCAGGTCAATAGTTTCAGGGGGTCATCCAACATTCATGGCTCCAGAAAAGTCTGTAGTCCATGAGAATTTGAAATTCTGTTCTGCATTTCCCCCCTTTTGATCAGGATTCTTCTATGGAATCTTTGATCAAAATGTTCAGAAATGGAAGCCAAGCACCATCCACTTCTTCTGGTCTCACGGCAAAGGAGGCAGTTTTCATGGAGGCAATCAGCCACACATTCCATATCCTCCTCCAATTCCTGACTCTCCTTCTTCCTTTGTTGCTCCAGGTGAACAGAGACCAATTGTTGTGCCTTGGATGGCAGCTTGCAAGCTTTTAAGACCCCGGGCGCTACGCACTGAAGTAGGAGGTAGACCAGAGGCACTAAACATGTTATCAGGCCAGTTAACTGGGATATCCATGAAACCACGACCCCAAACCTCCAAACCAAGAAACCAAATCCCATGAGATTTTTGGTCGTACATAAACTAAGCAGCTTCAGCAGCTACTTTTTTTTTGTTGTTATTACTGTAACTATAACTATTACACTTGTGCTATTTTTTAATTAGGAACCAAGAGCTCTTGAAACAATGTCAGTCTTAGCTCCTTGTGAATATGAAATACAACACAATACCACTTGTATATTCTTTTTATAATTGTTGTAAATATATATATAACATAACATTTGCCAATTTAACATTTCTCAGGTGTACGATTTAGTGACATCAATTACATTAGTCATGTTGTACAACCATCACCCAACACGTGTGTATTTTTTACCCAACACTGATGCACACACTTAATACTTTCTTGAATTCTGCACTATTAAATCTCAGAGCAAAACCAGAATTCCATATCCTGCTTTTAAACATCAGTAGCCCTCAGGCCAAAATGTCCAACCTGGTTTTAGCCAAATGTTGCTTCTGACTCATTTGTTTCCAGGATTAACTGGGGGGTGGGGAAGGGGGCCTAAACGTGTGAGAAGGTCAGAGACAATAATGTTTCAGAACACAGCACTCAGAAACAAAGCGAAACCGAAGGTAACGGAAGTAGCTAATTCCTCACTCCCTGTAGAGTAACACACTGACACAGGTGAGGCAGGCCGGCCCAGCAGCACAGAAGACACTTGGTGGAGACGCCTGCTCCTCTGCCCTGCTTACAACTGCAACAGCCCCTCGGGCCTGCCCTCCTGAGCCCCTTACTCGGCATGAGCTTAGGAGCCCTGGTGGCATAGTGGTTAAGCACTCGGTCGCTAACCAAAAGGTTGGCGGTTCGAACCCACCAGCAGCAAAGATGTGGCAGTCTGCTTCCGTAAAGATTTACAGCCTTGGAAACCCCATGGGGCAGTTCTACCCCGTCCTATGGGGTCGCTATGCATTGGAATTGACTCAACGGCAATGGGTTTGGGTTATCAGGGTAACACGCTCGGCTACCAGCTGAAAGTTTGAAGGTTCACTGGTAGTTCTAGCTCACCCCAGAGGAGCTCAGAAGAAAGGCCTGGCAGTCTACTGGCGATCTACTTCCAAAAAACCAGCTATTGAAAACCTTGGGGAGCACAGTTCTACCCTAACACTCAGGGGGTCACCCTGAGTCCCCGCCGACTCCACAGCCACTGGTGATGGTGGCAGAGCCAACCTGCAGGGAAACTCGGTAATAAAGGTTGTGGATGTTGACGCCAGATGCCAGAAAAAAAGAGACACGCTAAATCCTGGCGATGTCTACGGTTTGTCTTCATTATGTGGAATAAGAAGCATAAAAAAGAGATACGATAATGTAGAACAGCTGTATATACCATGTCCTTCGTAGGAGACGAGCAAGTGTAACGAAAGAAAATTCAGTACAAATTGCTACCTGATTTCTCCATCATTCAAAAATACCTGGTGAGCTTCTCACAGGTGGTAGTTAACTCAGGCATGTTAAAAATTACTCTGTTTTGTTCCTTAGATAAAATCTTAAGAACAGAAAGACTCTGCTTATTCAACCAGTAATTAAATTACACACACACACACACACACACACACACACACACACACACACACACATTATACTTTGCCTAAAAACCAGGAAACATCTGATTTACCATTCAAGGCAAATTTGGAAACAGATCCAAATGCTTTACAAAGCAGGATCATCTATTAGCAAACTCTGACTTCTCACTAAGCCTCAGAAATGCATCCTGGACTTTACGACACTTCCCCTTGTATTTCCCCACGAGGAGCGCACACCAGGAAGACTTACGGCTGTGCAGAAGATGCACCGGCATTCCTGCAGGGTGGTCATCTTGTCCAGAGAATGTTCACAAAGGCAGAGTTTGCAAGTGACCAGGGGTGCCGGAGCCACGTCTCTGGGTGTTGGGTTTTTGGCAGTCATGGTGAGACAGTGGAGCCTACCAGCTGAGCCCATCAGCCCGTCTGGACACTTCTTCAGTCTCCTCAATCCCTACAGGAAGGTGTAAAGCAGAAAATATTATATCCACTGATAGAGCTATTGTTTAACCAGCACATTTAGGGTCCAGCAGAGCAAAGCTGCCCCCTCGCCGATCTCTAAGCATACAGCTAGTGCATTTCTGAGAACTAGTGCATTTCTGAGAACTAGTGCATTTCTGGGAACCGTGGGCTAGAGAGGTTACCTCCTTGCAGAGTGTTAGTGAAACAGAAGCTAACCTCACTGTCCTGATTCCTATCACACAAGCTATAGGAATTAAAAGACCACTACACACAAGCAGGGCCCTGGTGGTGCAATGGTTAAGAGTTCTGGCTGTTAACCAAAAGGTCAGTAGTTCAAATCTACCAGCTGCTCCTTGGAAACTCTATGGGACAGTTCTGCTTTATCCTATAGGGTCACTAGGAGCTGGAATCGACTTGACGGCAATGGTTTTTGTTTTTTTTTTTAATGCATAAGCATTCCACCTGGAGTTGCCGCACTACAATCAATTCAACAGATTAAAATAACAAAAAAACTCAAAAATAGGGTGTCAATGTTACACACATTCCTTCACGTGCATCATTTCATTTAATCTTTTGCAACCATGATGGCTATTCATTTTATAGATGAATTGAGGTTCTGACTCATGGCGACCCATGTGTGTCAAAGTAGAACTATGTTCAATACCCTAAAGACACAAGGAATATATGAGCCCAAGAGACAGAAAGGCCCACATAAACCAGAGACTCCATCAGCCTGAGACCAGAAGAACTAGATGGTGCCTGGCTACCGCCAATGACCGCCCTGACAGGGAACACAACAGAGAGTCCCTGAAGGAGCAGGAGAAAAGTGGGGTGTAGAACTCAAATTCTAGTAAAAAGACCATACTTAATGGTCTGATTGAGACTAGAGGGACCCCAGAAGACATGGCCCCCAGACTGTCAACCTGGAACTAAAACCATTCCCAAAGCCAATTCTTCAGACAAAGATTGGACTGGACTATAAGACATAAAATGATACTCGTGAAGAGTTTACCTCTTAGTTCAAGTAGATACACGAGACTAAATGGGCAGCTCCTGTCCGGAGGCAAGATGAGAAGGCAGAAAGGGATAGGACCTGGTTGAATGGACACGGGAAATCCGGGGTGGAAAGGAGGAGTGTGCTGTCATATTACAGGGATATCAACTAGGGTCACAAAACAATGTGTGTATAAATTTTTGTATGAGAAACTAACTTGAGCTGTAAACTTTCCCTTAAAACACAATAAAAGAAATAAAATAAAAAAGAACTATGTTCGATAGAGTTTTCAACAGCTGATTTTTCAGAAGTAGATCGACAGGTCTTTCTTTCTTCCAAGGTGCCTCTGGGTAGAATCCAACCTCTAACCTTTTGGTTAGCAGCTGAGCACATTAACTACTTGCACCACCCAGGAACTCTGAGACCTGCGTATTCTTCAAGAAAGCCAAGTATTTTTCACAGTCTCAATTAATATTTTTTTAGAAGAGACGTTAACAGGCCAAATGTCTAATACACTCTTGAAAAACAAAGATGTGAGGACAGAATGGAACAACCCTCTTAGACTCTTCTTTTTAAAGGGAAAACTAGAAATTGTGTTAATCAAGGTGGTTTGAAACATAATGTTGTCTCCTGCCACATACATAAGTTTTTAATCCTTAGTTTGTGAGTGACATGCCTAATCCATTGACAGTGGATCGATTCTGAATCACAGCAACCCTATAGGACAGAGCAGAACTGCCGTATAGGGTTTACAGGGCTGTAAGCTTTACTGATGCCGACTACCACATCTTTCCCTCATAGAGCGGCTGCTAGGTTCAAACCATTGATCTTTTGGTTAGCAGCCGAGTGCTTAACCACTGCACCACCAGGGTTCCCTGACTGACACATTTATAGGCGATGAAATCAAAGTTAAAAAAAAAAAAAACCCTTTTACATAGCAGAGATCCATTTTATTAAAAAAAAAATCATCTGTGCATTCCACTCTGGCAGTACTTGTGACTCAGCAGGGCAGAGGGAAGAAATTACATGTCTCATCTCTTTGGGATGTGAACAATCCAAAATGAGTCCTCAAAAAAAAGCAATTTCTTTTTTCTGTGTACAATGACATCTATTCCCTAAAGTGGTGGCTGTCGAACATTGTTAAAGCAATGGAATTTTATAAAGACAGAATCGTCAGCAAAAAGTCGACTAGCTCCACCTGAAGCAGGAGTAGAAGCCCCAGGTCAGGCTCCCCTGACCTCCTCAGCTGCCCCCGGGGCACCATCTCAGAAGCTGAGGGCTTCACCACGCACAGTCTGAAAACCATCCCTTTGGTTATTCACTTTTGGCAAAATGAGCAATGGATGTTTTAAAAATGAATGACATATAGTGAAAAAAAAAGGATATCACACAAAAAAGTCTTTCACCGTTGATTCACTGGAAACCAAGCTCATCAAGTAGTAAACGGGAGATCCCTGAAGCTCTCTGGAGAATTCCCTCACACTAGAGGTAATGTTTGTGAATGGTCCCCAAAGTTTCCCAGTATTTCCTCATTTATGTCTTATTAAGATTTTCCAGGTCCGGAAGGGGTGCTGAGTTTCTGTCCGGAGTGATGAAAACTTTTGGAAAAGGATAAAGATGACGGTGGCACAACATGGTAAATGTAATTAATGTCACTGAATTGTACACTTGAAAATGACTAAAACGGCAGAAATTCTGCTATATATTTACCACAATAAAATTAACCAATCAGTGAGACTGACCAGGTCTCTACAACATGAAACCACCAACGGTAGAAACCCAGCCCCTCTACCCAAACTTCTTAGTCCATGGCAGGAAGCCCCGAAGGGCTGTCCACAGCGGGGCTGATGACAGCTCACAGCCCCTCCTGTCCCTCTGACTGAGCCACACCTTTGCAGGTACACTGACAACTCACTCCCATGCCCCTCCAACTCTTAGAATACGTCTTCCTTCCAGAGAGACGGTAACTCACTCTCGAAGGCTTGCTTCACTTAGTTTGCCTCATACCTCACGTTTTTTCCTAAAATAAGAAAGTGACGAATTAGGCACCCTATTTCAAAAGGTCCCTGGGTGGCGCAAAAGGTTTGAGCTCACCTACTAACCTAAAAGTTGGCAATTTGAGTCCACTTAGAGGTGCTGCTGAAGAAAGTCCTGAGGATCTGCTTCCATAAAGATTATAGCCAAGAAAACTCTACTCTGTAACACATGGGGTCGTCATGAGTTGGAACTGACTTGATGGTAAAGGGTTCAGGCTTTTTTTTTTACCTTTTAAAGTCACCCAGTTATTTTAAAAGGTAACAATTAGAATTGCTTTTCCACTTATTACAGATGTGAGCATGCCTCTCACTCGGTGTCAAAAACACCATAGGAAGAATTCTGGCAGAGAATACAAAGGATAGGCTGGGAAGAAGAGAAACACAACTGCTGTTTTCAGGTCTAAACTTTTTAAGGTTGATGGCAGGGTGAGAAATGCATAATCAGACTCCACCCAAATTGCAAGAATATTACTTGCTTAAATATGCTGTTGTTGATTGCCATCAATAAATATCAATTCACAGCAACCCCAAGTGTGCAGAGTAGAACTGCTCCATAGGGTTTTCAAGGCTGTGATCTCTCAGAAGCAGATGGCCAGGCCTGTCTTCTGAGATGCCTCTGGATGGGTCTGAACCATCAACCTTTTGGTTAGTAATAGAGCGCTTAACTGTTTGCACCACCCGGAATCACTGCTTGAATATACTTAACCATATAACAGGACAGACTTGCTGGGGGAGGCAAGGAATGGAGGCCACTTTAAAATGTGACTTTACACCCATGTCCCAGGAAAGGAGAACCAGCCTCCTACCTATTCTATGAGTGTCTCCTGCACTACAAGTGTTCATTGTATGAGAAGAAGCAAGCACCATTTGATAGGGAAGTCAGTTTTTCCCTTATGTGTTTTCATTAGAATTGCCAAAAAAAAGGGAATACTTCAGAAGCTGAGCTGGAAATGCAGGATGTGTAAGAATTTTCACATTCTGCTGGTGGCTCGAAAATGCAATTTGCTCCAAAAAATGCAGAGGGTAGGAGAGCCAACGTTTCAAAGTATTTTTCACTAATGTAGTTTAGCCTTGTTTCACTATTCAAAGTAATAATAATTATTCTCTTGCAAAAAAAATAACATAAATGGAAAGAATCATATTTTACTAGGATATTTACCCAATTTTTTAGGAATTTTCACACCATTCTGCAAAAAAAGAAAAAAAAAAACCTTTAACATTGAGATAAATTGATAAAACTCTACTAAAGAGACTAAGAGGAATGGAAAACTACAATATCCAGTTGACTCACCAAAATGGGTCAACCATATGCGACTGATGTAACAGAAGATTAATGTAGGTAAAAATCAAGCTGATGGATGCAAAGGTCTTAACTCCAGACTATGCTATGAAAGTCTAAGTTACTCAAGAACAAGGGACAAAAGGAGAAGAGACACATGAATACACTCAAAATGTTTACATGCCCACGCAAGACTAAGCAGTAGCTGGAACAGGAGAGACAATGTATGACTAATAAGAGAGCTGGCAGAAGGAAAGTTTTTCATAGGGTAGGTGTTGGTGGAGGTAGGGCTGCTGAGTGACCTTGTATAACAGAAACATTCTCAGAAAGCCAACCCACTAACAGAGCATAAAGAAACAGCAATCTAAAGAGCCCATCTCTGCCTTGTTAGGAAAGATCTCCCAATTCCAGCTAAGAAAGACATGTGAAGTAACAGCTTGCACTCAACAAATCTGAAAATTGGATTGTGCTGGCCTTGGCACTTATGCCCAACATAATGAATGATGTACTTAGTTCATGTTCTTACCACCAGCGGTTAGCGGCTCAGGTGGTACTGAGTCTTATGAAGTGCTGCCCATCTTCAGCCATTAGCCATGAGGTACAGCATTCCAAAACTAAGGCTGTTAACATGACTAAAACTTCTGGCTGAGGTCTAGGCCAAATGCTTTCTTGTTCTGACTCCATTTTTATAATTTTGAATGCAGCCTATCACCTCCTTGGAAGCAAAGATGGTGAGATGATATCTCATATACTGTGGATACCTTATCAGGAGGGATCAGTCCCTAGAAAAGGGACATCATGCTTGGTAAAGCAGAGAGCCAGCAAAACAGAGGAAGACCCTCAACAAGATGGACTGACACCGTGGCTGCAATAATGGGCTCAAGCATACCAACAAATGTGAGGATGGCACAGGACCGGGCAGGGTTTCATTCTATTGTACACAGGGTCACTATGAGTTGGAACCAACTTGACAGCACCTAACAACATCACCTCTGTAAAATTTTCCACTGTACCTTTGACCTAGAAACAAGTAATTCTACAGAGAAATGCAATTTTGCCTACCCTGCTCTGCTTAACGACAAACTTGTGATTAGAAATGTTAAGCAGAGATTATTCAGCCTGTGCAGGTGTTAGACATGGTGTTAAACATGTGACTGTGGTGGCTAAGCCAAATTACCCCTAAAACAAAAAGACCAAACCCATTGCTGTAGCTGATTCCAACTCATAGTAACCCTATACGAGAGTGTAGAACTGCCCCATAGGGTTTCCAAGGAGCAGCTGGTAGATTCAAACTGCCGACCTTTTGGTTAGCAGCCAAACTCAACCACTGTGCCACTAGGGCTCTAAATTACCCCTAACCTGTTACTGTTGAGTCTATTCCAACTCATAGCAACCCTATAGGACAGAGTAGAACTGCCCCATAGAGTTTCCAAGGAGCGCCTGGTGGATTTGAACTACCATCCTTCTGGTTAGCAGACATAGCTCTTAACCAATTACCCCAAGGCCTCCTAAAAATGTTTTTCTGCCTCCCTTTACAATACTCTGTACTTAAAGGTAATTATATTTTAAATGTTCCAGGAAACTCATGGTCAGCCAAATTCTGTCACCTGGAGTCACTCTTGCAAAGGAGGTCAACCCTACAAAGGTGGTCAACCAAGCCCCTGTCACCTGCAACTTTATAAATCGTAACCAATCAGAAGTACTCTAGCTGTATCCCCCTTGTTTGCGGTTTTTACCTTTATTAACCTCTGTAACACTACAGTCCTCTTGAACACTTTGTTGGATTTCTCCCAGAACTGTGTTTCTCATTTTACAAAATGCTTTTTTGCTGTAATAAAATCCTTTGTTTTTACTTTTAAACAAACTTCAATAGTTTTTTCTCTACAAAGTGAGGTCAGAAGGTGACTTCCTCCATAGGCACCTGGAGAGCCAGTAAATCAGGCTCTGGATGCAACTGAGTCGACTGGACTCTCCTTTTTCCATGGACTTTTGGAGCCACCTGGGTGAGTACCTCTCAGATTTCGAGGCTCTGTTTGTTGCATCTGAGACTCTCTGAGTTTTATTACCGGCTTACTTTTTAAATTATTATCGGCTTACTTCCGTAATTTGGCCTGGATTTGTTTTCCCTTTCCTCCTGTTTGAATCCATTTACATGTGAGCTTTGAGCTCCCTCTACCAGGAGACTGTTAGAGACAATTGTTCATCCACTTGCAAGTTTGGGTGAAGATCTTCCGCTTGCAAGTTCTGATACTTTGACTAAAACTCCTTGTCCGCTTGCAGGTTCGGGTTTAGATCTTCCACTTGCAAGTTTGGGTATTTTGATTCTAGTTTTGGTATGCACTTTTTAGCTAACAAGAGAAATGAGTAACAACAAATGCAAAACGCAGAATACTCCTCAGGGACTCCTGCACAATTTATGAGCAAACACTACAGTCCTGCTACTTGTTCCTTTACAGTCCTGCTACTTGTTCCTTTTTAAGCCAATGGCATGATCTAACTAAATACAGCTTAGAAAATACCTGGCCTCTTTTGGTGGTCCTTTGACATCTCCAAATTATCCTTTTTGCAGAATAAATTAGAACAGAAGGGTTCCAGAATTAAACAGATCCAATGGAACTTGTATTTTAATTGGTATTAAATCTTCTAAAATAAACTAGAAAAGCAAAGTGGCTAGCCTAAAAGATAGTTTCTAATCTAACCACTAAAAGATACAGTTTCTAATCTAACCAAACAGAAGACAGAACTTGAGAGCCCTATTTCTATTTCTAATACCTGTGGCGTCATCTACTGTCCCCTCTGCTCCCCCTACAGCACCTAAATTTCCCAATCCTCTCTACCCTCCCCTTCCTTTATATGACACTTCTCTATCTGAACTCCCTTTCTTTCCAAATGAGGAAGGCACTGCCTATAAACCTGTACCTGAGATGCATTTTAAGATAAAACCACCTGAGCACTCAGGGGATTGTCCAGGAGTTAGTTTCACCCCTAGGATGAAAGCAGAGTTAAGAGACATAGTGAAGGATTTCCCAAACCATCGAGAAGACCCTCAAAAATTCAGAGAAGAATTTAGAATCCTTGTCTATACTCATCAGCTCATTACCGGACCTTTTCCAATTCATTCACATGTTGATGGGTCCAGGGGAAGCCCACTTATGAATGGAGGAGGCTGGATGGCATTACCTGGAAGCATCTTGCTTCTCAGATCTGGGCAGTCTGCCAAAGACCTTTTACATGAAGCTAGGGACATGTATGATGGGCTGTTAAAAGCTATTCCTAACGTCTTTCCTGGAAAAACAGATATGGCAAAAGTCCACACTTGTAGACAAGAAAAGAGTGAAGGAATTCATAATTACTGGAACAGATTAACCAAGCTCTTCACTGAACATTCTCCAATGTCCCTATAATATGACAGTAATGAAATGGCTTTCAACTCTTTGTCTCTTTTCTGAACATTTTATTGTGGTTTGGTGAAAGTTTACACAGCAAATTAGTTTCTCATTCAACACATTTTGTTTGGTGACATTAGCTGCAATCCCCTCAGTGTGACAGCTCTACCCACTTCCTCCTTGGTTCCCTGTTTCCATTTGCCCATCTTTTCTGCCCCTTCCTGCCTTCTGAACCTTGTTTTTTGGAAAACGTTGCTCTTTTGATCTCACATGGTTGATCTGAGGAGCACACATCCCTCACAGGTGTTATTCTTCACTTTATAGGCTTGTCTATTGTTTGGCTGAAAGGTGATTTCTGGGAGTGGGTTCAGTTCCAGATGTGAAGGTTGCCTAAGGGCCATAGTCTCAGGGGTTCCACCAGTCTCTATAAGAACAGTAAGTCTAGTCTTTTTTATAAATTTGAGTTTTGTTCTATGTTTTTTCTCCCACTATATCCAGGATCTTCTATTGTGATCCCGATCAGAGTGGTCAGTAGTGGTAGCCAAGCACCATGGAGTTCTTCTAGTTTCAATCTAGTGGAGGCTGTGATTCATGTGGTCTGTTAGTCCTTTGCACTAATTATTTCCTTGAGTCTTTGATTTTCTTTAGTCTCCTTTGCTCCGGACAGGAAGAGATCAATAGTTGTGTCTTAGACAGCTGCTCACAAGCTTTTAAGACCCCAGTCACTACTCACCGAAGTAGGATGTAGAACATTGTCTTTATGGACTACATTATACCAACTGATCTAGATGTTCCCCAAGACTATGGTCCTAAGCCCTCAAGCTAGAGTGATGCAGTCCCTCAAGGTGCTTCATTATGGCTGAGGAGTTTTCATAACTTTGCCCCCTGTGTGCTGTACTATATACATGGATATCTCTCAGGACATACACATACATATGTAGAAATATCCTCTACCAAACCTACATATGATCATCATCAACTCACTTTTTCTTAATGGATTAGACCCTAATATATCCAATCTGGTGAAGAGGCATAATTTGAACTGGGAAACAGCTGCTACTACTGATCTCAGTAACTTAGCTCATAAACTATCTCAGACTTTTGAACAACAAGCTAAGGATACAGAGCAAGAAAAGCAAACCCAAAAATTAAAGATCAAAACAAACCAAAATAAATTAATGCCCTTACAATTACAGCAGCTGCAAAGCGCTGAACAAAAGGGGAAGTCCAATCAATCAACACCTGGATCCCCTAATAATAGTAATTTTTAAAAAGAATGCCATTATTGCAAGAAACCAGGTCACTGGAAAAATGAATGTTTTAAACTTAAAAATAAACAAAAGACATCTCAATATATGCCTCCCAAACCAAAACTTGCATGAAGAGTCTCTGGGGTATATAAAGAGCATTTCCTGTAGTAACTCTGACCTCTCAAGGTGAAACTGTTTTAACTGTTAACTGTACATTTTTAATTGATACCGGAACTACTTTATCTGCTATTAACCCCACATGTTTACAAAAG